TAATTTTGTTTTTGTTCATTTTAGTTATGATTGGCAATGTTTGGATTATTGAAGATTTGTTTGCACTGCCTGCTTTCAGGAAACTGGTCAAGTTGTGGGAACAGTTGTTAATGTTTTCAATACTGGAGCTAGTGATCTTTTACATGTCGTGCTCAAATCATCTGTACTGAGGCCTAATGGAAGTGGGTCTAATTCGACAGAATCTGGTGATTCTGGTCCCCTTATTTGGGTACCTTTCGTTGAGGAAATCGTTCCTAATGTTGATTTGACTAGAAGAGAAATGCAGATCACACCTCCAAAGGGACTCCTTGAGTTGAATGTACGCTCTGATGAGAGGTCCAAGAAAGAAAGGCGCCAACTTGTAAGCCATACTCTTTTGTACTCTACTTGATTTATTATTTATTGTTTGCATGATTTTTTCTTAAATATCATTCTGCCTGCTTATATTCTTGTCAGCTGAGACCTCCTTTCTTGCATTTCTTCTTCTTCTGTTCCTCCATTCTCTTATTTAAGTAGATATTTCTTTTCATATATGATTATTCAGATTTTTTATTTGGGGCATGTATATTTTGTTGCTTGCTTCCTATTTATCGTTGTGCTGCTTGGAGTATAATGTTTAACCATGAGTTTGGTGATTTCAAAATTCAACTATTAGGAGCTATTCCTTTCTCGCAATATATCTGTATCTTAAAGTTGGACTTTGTGTTACATCTCTGATGCAATCACTGAACTTTGTACATCTGTTCAGAGCGTGGTTCTGGAAATGTTGTTTTCCTGGTATATTTGATGTTAATTTCTTTAAATTAGTCTTAAGTCACCATGTGCATGCATTTGTGGCTGCTTTATATGCTCATCTTCTCAACCTCTTCTTTTGATTCACGATGCTTCTGTACTTTTCATATTTTCAAAGTTTACATGATTGTATCAGTCAGGGTCTTGTATTGAGCATCCTTTGACATATGTCAGGAATGGAAAGAAAGGAAAAAGTATCAAAAACGCTTAATAGCTGCAAAAAAGAAATTGTGTGAAATGGAGCAACAACATATATTTCATGGGTTTAGATTTGGAGAGAAGTCTGAAACAAGCTTACTTGCAGATCAGATTCTCAGTGTTAATTCCAAATTGCTTCAACAGGCATTGCAAAATATTGAGATAGCTTCAAAGAGGTGAAGTTTTTATTTATTTATATATTGTATAAACTATATATACTATATAGCAATTGAGGATGCAAGCCTAGTTATGGTTCAGGCTGGAAAATATTTTTGTTTTGTACATGTCGAGTTTTTGTCTGCAGCAATAAGTAGTTGAATGTTGTAGCTTGTTGGGGCCTAGTTCAGTTATCGATAACCTTTCAATAACATTGATTGATGTTTTCTCACTTTACACACATCAAAACTTCTCTTTAATTGTTCAATCAATTGATCATATATTCTTTTCTCTTCAAACATAATGGCAAAAAGATAATTTAGTTTCATCTTAAACTCCTCTTATAACTAGGAAGGCCTTATCTGAAAGGTAAGGGTGATCTACAATGGTGCCAAACTTATTAAATTTTTGCTTCTGCATTACTTCTTGAACCAGATGGAGTATAACTGAGTCACTCACTGGAACTAAGCTGGTGAGGAATAGATTGAGGATATCAGAAAAATGCTTTACTCCATGTACAAGTGAAGAGAAGCTGGGGGCAAATCTCAATTTGCAGGAAAAGGCACTCCATCTTGTTTCTAAAGGCAAAGTTGCTCTTGTTTTAGATATGAGTGACCAAAGGAACCACGGGAAAGAATATGACCCTAGTCTTGCTTTCTCAGTAAGCATGGAGAATTCAGAAACATCCTCCCTTCAGACGTTGCTTTGTGATGATGAGAGGTTTGTGAAGGTGGTACTAAGATTAGAATTTTCATTTGGGAAATTTTTTTTCTTAGTTTGTCAGTTGTCACTGATTCATGCAAATGAAAACTTTCATTTATAAGCTACTGCTCTTAGAATAACATGCTCATTGTTTTCTGCAATACTATTCTTTAAAAAATTTGAATCATACTGAGCTCCAATTCTTGAATTTAAAGCCTTTTGTTTGTTGCTTGCAGGTAGAATATCGTTTATCAGTGCCACTGGTTTTGATTTGCCCAGCTGATGAAATCAATTCTATGGAGAAGCTGTTTATAAGTAACAATTATTTTGGGTTTGACCCTGAAAAGGTCAGTATTATTTTCATTGAATTGCTTGTGAACTTTGGATGACCTAGAAGGCTAAAACACTAGCAGCTGAGTAAAGATATAAGCAATGTTCATTACAGGTTGAAAGTTTTGCTATCACATTTCAGCATGAATAGCAATCGTTTCCAATATATTCTTCTTCTTTCTTTTCCCCATCCTGAGTGTCACGGAATTAGAGTTATGTCTGCTTGTTAGATTATATAACTTACATTTTGGAGAAGGAGTTATTGCCTTCTACTTCAGGAATCAAGGTGTGAGCTTCTGTAAATGAAATCTCCTAAGACTCACTATGTTTCAACGTTTCATAGTTTTGATCAAATCCAACTTTTCTTACACAATTACCGAGTTTAAGTTTTGGTCAAATCCCCCTGTTCCCCGGGTGAAATTCTCATTCCAATCTTCAACTTGACTTCATTAACTTTTAAATTGGAAATTCAGTTCTTTGAAAAGGTATGGCTTTTTATTTTATTGCTTGCATGTTCCACTAATTGTTTACCATTTGGATTCTTGCGGAGTTGGAGACAATCTTTGATAAAATCCATAACTTTGGGAATCCATGAACTGGGTCCTAGCATTCATGCTTGTAATCCTGTTTATTTTAATGTAGATGAATTAAAAATGATGAATATGAAGTACTTAATTTTATCCAATGTGTGTGACAATTCTATGTGTATGAGCATCTTTTACCATTCAACCAAATTACAGGTTTGGTTCTTGGAAGAAGAGAAGCTGCCAGTTGTTAGCAGTTTGCTGGAACAGAACAGGCATAAGATTTTGATGAAATCACCTTGGGAGATATTGCAGTCACCAGTTGGATCTGGAGGAGTCATTAGCTTGCTTTCTTCAAATGGTATTGCAGAGAATCTTGCCCGAATGAGTGTGGAGTATATTCAGGTTAGAAGCTTCATTATTGTTTAAGTTAGTCATGTTCTATCTCGTGTCAGTCTTGTTTTCCATGTAAAAGAATGGGGTTAGACTTTGAAATGTTTTATTGATGCTTTTATAAATTTTAAGACATCTATTTTGCTACGAATGCTCCAAAATAATCATAAGAGACTCGTGAATCAAGTCCAAAGGCAGTCTTTGTGGCAACAAAATAGAGGTGCATGTAGTCAATTTTCTTGGCTCTAGTCTATTACCAGTCACTGTAGTGAAGTTGATATCTAAGTCAACTGTATTGTGTCAGATGGTAGAACAGGGAAAGCATTTTAGATATACTTCCAACTCAGAAAGTGCTGTAGAAAATCGGTTCTTTTTATGTTTCAATCTTGTGTGGAGGAAAGATAATGCAATGTTATATTCTTTAAGGAAGAAGCTCCAAACTTGTGGCGGAGCGTTGTCTGATTGTCATGCTCCACATCCCACATGGTGGGGGAAGATCTTAGTTCATAAATTTGGTTTTATGATCCCATAATTAACTTCAGTTTTCACTCTCAGTTGATTGTCCTGGGGTGTTACAGTTCTTCTGCATGCATGTGTATGTCTTCGTGGTGACCTTGTTAACTGGACTGTTCTGCGCATTCCCTTTGCATTTCATACTTAACTCAGGAATTTGGAGCTAAGATGCAAGTCATCTGTTTCTATATCAGCACTTGAACATCTGCTTGCTGCATGCAAACAAGTTTTTGCACATGCATACATACATATGACACAAAGCTCATGTCATTAACATTCTTGTCCAGAATCTGCTCTCTGGTAGTGTTCTCTTTGTTAATTCTTGTTTCTACATGACTTGCTTCTTGCAGGTATGCTGCAGTGAAAGATATATCAGTGGGAGCTCGCTGCTCCTTGGATTTGTTAACTCAAAGGAAGCAGATATCGGTGTTCAAGTTTTCGAAGATAGAGAGGATATCGAGGAAGGTTTTGGCATGATATTCTCGATGGATATAATGAAGAAGTTGACAAGACAAATCAATAAACTTCAATTCTATGCTGTTGCAAAGCCAAATTCACATGTGGAGCTAGTTGAGAAAAAGTGGGTTGAGGTTGATCCTTCCTCTCCGAACTCGTACGAGTTTTATTTGACAATATTTAGTTGTTTAAACGCCTCTCCTTTGGGTAAAATTTGTGTAATGGAAATCACAGAATAGTGTACAAAGAGAGTTATTGGTTTTCCACAAAGTATACGTGTATGACCTTTGCTTGCCTTCCTTCTTTTGTTTCACCTTTGTTGAGGGCTCTGAGGGAGAGTGGCTTTGTTAGAAATGCATAAAATCCAATCCCCAAATCATGGTTGAATTCTTTTCCATGCATTCTAACATAAAAAACTCGGCTTTTCCCTTAATGAAGGAAAAGGGACAGAGGAGGTGCATGGAAAGTGAAATCCCCATGACATTTTTTTTTTGTGTCCAAACACTTGCACTATAATTTTTATATTCACATTACATAGAATGTTACATACATATGTAATATTAAACGAAACTTTAAAAAAAATATAATTTTATTCATTAGTATTTAATTTTATTTTTTTTCTAACAATTGTTTGGTGAACTTATATAATGAAAAAATATTAAATTTATTTGTGAATAAATCATGTTTACTTTTATATTTTTAAAATTAAAATATCGTAAATATTTGATTTAATGAATTTCGAATTTAAAATCTCTCAGTATCATTTAAAAAAAAGACCAAAACAAACTGGGCTGGATCTTTGAAAAACCAAAAGATCATTATGAATTGAGCCGACCATGGAATAAAGGAAGCCCAAGGGCCAAAACAAAACCAACCTTTAAGAAGTTAAAAATAAATAAATAAAAAACAAAAACAGGCGGCTATTTTCCACCGTCGATTTATTCTAATCTCTCGAACAAACCCTAAAAATTGAAAGAAACCCTAAAACGCTTCGCTCTCAACGCCTCTATAAAACCTGCCGCAATCCTTATTAGCAAAGCCGCCCCGGCCACCCCAAACCCCTAATTACCCAGTAATCCTCTCTCCCTCCTCCTCCTCCTTCTTCAGATCTTTTTTACTGTTATAAATGCCAGCAACTTAAGTAACAATTTTTTTTTGTCTTTGTTAATGATAAAGGAGGTAAGAAGAAGAAGAAGAAGAAGGATAAGAAGAAATGGCAGTGCCGCTTCTGAGTAAGAGGATCGTGAAGAAGAGGGTCAAGAAGTTCAAGAGACCCCAGAGCGACCGCAAAATCTCCGTCAAGGTTTATTAACATGGCCCTATTTTAATTCAAGTTTTGATTTTTGTTCTTATTTTCAGCCATTTTATTTTGAGCTTTGGTTTTTAATGAAGGGAAAATGATGATAGTAATTGTCGCCCCAGTCTTACTTTGCATATATCAATGTCTTCGTATGCAAAGTTGGTGATTGACGTTTTTATCTGATTCCACTTCTTATATTTTTGCAGCTTTTATTTGTTTACGAAATTAGTTAAAAAATCTTTTTTTTTGTTAAATGGGTTTGAATATGGAAATGAAGATAGATCTTGACACCCAGTCTGAGTTAGCTTCTTTCTAGATGCAATATGCTGAGTCAGTAGCGATCGACTATCTGATCCATTTAGCGAGGGTCTTGTAAATTTTCCTTTTTTTTATTCCTTTTTTTTCTGGTAGTTTCGATTAAATATTTATGGTATTGCCTTTTAAAGGAAAAGTTGGAAGGAAATGATGATTGTTGTTTGACACCCAGTCTTACTTTCATCTCTTGATGGAAGATGGTGATAGTAATAAACACATTTATCTGATCCATTTTTATAACCAACTTTTCTTATTTTACTTTTATCTATTTTTTTGTTAATTGGTTGTGATCTTTTGAAATATGCAAGGAGGTGTGAGGATATTTATCCACCATTTCTGTATATGAATGATGAATATTAACATGCACTACCATCTGATCTCTGTTGCATATTTTGTTTTTTTTTAAATGGCTATTTGAAAGTTAATTTTTTTTTATTTTTGTCACTTACTGCAATCTATGATGTAATGAATCATCAGACCTGATCTTTCTGTGATGATTATAGAAAATAATCACCATCTTTCGGCTGAGATTGCTTATCTTTGCTCAGAATTTTATATTACAGGACAGATGCAAGTACCTACTATGCTTGCTTTTTTAAAATATCTATATGTTTTTGTCTCCTTGGAGTAGGATTTCTTGTAGGAAAGGTTTAGGTTTTTTGCCCATGGTATCTGATGTCCAGATTTATGTTTTTGTAGCTGGGCATTTCGTTTTAAGGGCATATACTAATTTCTGAACAGGTCTTGCGACACAGTTAGCTTTTATTTTGCAAGCTTTCTGTTACTAAATCCCTGCTCACATCCTTACTGTTTTTATTTCTTATTTCTTATGCACAATTGTCATTTTTTGCTGTTAATTTTGAAATTTTGAAAGTTCTCTGACTTATCATGGTTTGCCCTGTGTAATGGCAGACAAACTGGCGTAGACCAAAGGGTATTGATTCCCGTGTAAGAAGAAAGTTCAAGGGATGCACTTTGATGCCCAACATTGGTTATGGTTCAGACAAGAAGACTCGTCACTATCTTCCTAATGGCTTTAAGAAATTTGTTGTGCACAACGTCAAAGAGCTTGAACTGTTGATGATGCACAACAGGTACTGTCAAACTTACCAAAAATGAGTAATTCATCATTGTCTACGTTTATCTTAATTTGTTTTTGTTGCTTCTTAGGACATACTGTGCTGAGATTGCCCATGATGTTTCCACAAGGAAGAGAAAAGAGATTGT